AATTTTCTGATGCCCCTCTTGGCCCCCTGCCCCAGTCTGGCATCAATATAGCAATTGATCATGTCATTCTTTGACCTACAAGGCCCTGTGCCGTGCGACCCATGGGCTGCTCCAGCCTCATCCCCCGCCCCATCGCTTTGGTGCTCCGGCCACTCAGGCCCCCTTAGTCCCTCCAATGTTCTTTTCACTTGCTGCTCCCTGTGCCTGGAATGCTCTTCCCTCACATCTGCGCTTTGTTAGGTCTCAGATTAAACATCACATCACACAAACCCTCCCCAGCTCCTAACAACCGCCCCCCCGCCCCGCACTATGCTGCCACCTGGTTTTATTTCTTCCCAAGCACCATCGCCACCTGAGATGACTGTCTACCCTTGTCTCCCAGCCTCCCCAGAAATATTCTCTGCGCGGCACACAGTGGGCTTCCAGGGAAACGCTTGTGGGGCTGAATGAACTTACTCCAGATTGACTTGCCATTTCCTCCAGAAGTGGGTGGTGCATGTCTACAGTGCCTTGTCTTCTAAACTGTCCTCAGCAGGGAGGACTGCCAGGGCCTCTGCATGGAGCTGGCTCGCAGTCCTGTCAGTGGCTGTTGAATGAATTCTGCCCTCAGTTTTATATCCACTGAGCACCTAAACTGTGCCAGGCACTGGGCAAAGCACTTTACATTGACTCTTTTCAAAGCCACCCTGTGAGATAGGTCCCATTGGAATGCCCCGTCTTACGGATGAGACAAACAGAATGGCCCACAAGTGGCAAAGTTAGAACTTAGGCCCAGGGTGTGTGATCTCAGGTCAGGCACTTCTAAGGACTCCTGTCTCTGAACAGGTCAGCTCTCAGGAAGCAATTATGTCAGCCAAAGCCACCTGCTCCGTGTCCTCTGGAGACAGAGCATCTTGTTTTATTCTTAAGCTAGTGTTGGACAGAGCCTCAGCAATGCCTCAGTGGCGAGAACATGGCCTGGATTCGAGGGCCCAGCCACCTGCCGCCTGGATAATTTAGTTTCTCATCTGAAAGTGGGACCAGGACCCACATTTCCAGTCCGCTGTGTGAAAACACCAGCGCAGGCTGGGCTTCTGGTAGTAGCGGGGGGTGTCTGGAGATCTGCCACCCAACTTGTTCAATGAGGTTACGGTAGCAAGGTGGGGAGAGATCTCTGTGGTCACAGACCCAGACTATAGCCAAACTGAAACCAGAAGTGAATACTTTTTGGTGAGGACAGACATGGCCCGATGGACACAGTCCTGTAGGGGAAGATCTCAGAAGTTGGGGCCAGCAGACCAGGCTTTCGAGTCTTACTCCACCACAAGCTGTGAGGTGACCTTGGGCAGGCAGCATTCTCTCTGGGCCCGTTCCCCATCCTAATAATCCAACGGTGAGAGTCACACACTCTCCTCTGCTGTCACTTATGTGTAAGGGTTCCAACCAAGCAAAGGCAGCACATCCAGACTCAGCCAAGTCAAGCTCGGAGGGAGGCAGATCAAGGAGCAGGGCTGCTTCATGTTGGACACACACCTGGATTGTCAATCATGACACAAGCGCAGCAGGCAGAGTGAGTTTATTGCATTAGAAAAAACATCAAAGAAAACCAGCAAACACCTCCGCACTAAACACAGTTATTAGTTTACTTCAAGGGCAAAAAGAAATCTCAAAGGTACAAGCTTTATTTCTGGGAGGGGTGCCAGTCTCATCCCTCCTTCCTCTGTGTCCCTCTGAACCAGCGGACCTCTACAGAGGTGTTCGCTGTGCTCTATGATCACACATGGCTCACTTGTCACCCATGCACGCCCACGTGGAGCTAGCTGGGTACAATGGACACGCTCCTGAGGTGCTGGGAGACAGAGAAATGTGCGGATGGGCTGGGGGGCTGAGCCGGAGCCTGGGCTTCCGAGTTAGTGCCAGTGGGACTTGGGTGGGGGAAGGGGTGAGAGCCTGCTTTCCTGCAGGGCTCTGAGAAGATGGCTCACTGACCTCTGTCTCTCCCTGGGGTGCAGGCATTGGCACAAATGGCTGCTGGGCATGAAGGGGACTTTCAATGAACCAAGTGACTCAGTCTCTTAGGGGAGCCATTTTTCAGTACAGCGCTGGGTCTGGAGGTGGCTGCTGGTAGGAGCGAAACCAGTTAGGCCTGGAGATGGGGGGGAGAGAGGAGGAGCCTGTGATGCTCAGCGCCTTTTGGCTAGAGCTGTGTGGAGGTGTCTGGAGCAAGAGCCTGGCAGAGAGAGGGCTGGACAAGGCAAGCTGGAAACGGAGAGACTCAGGTGGGAAGCAAAGCCTGGACCAACATGCGGCCTTCCTGGGAGAAACCCATTCTCCATGGTCCATTCTGCCAGTCGGTGAACATTAAGTGAGCGTCCCCGCCAGTTTCTGCTCTCGTGTATCACTGCCATGCATTCTGGCAAATGAGTGGGTCTCGAGAAGAATTAAACTGCTCATTGGCTTGGTCTCCGATCTAAAAAGTTCCAAAATGTCACTTGACATCGCAGCTGGTCAGGTCAGAGGCAGACACTAAGGCAGAGTAACATTTTTCCTTTAGCTGAGACCCAGACGATGCCAACTGCTCTGGCAGATGGCACACACAGGAGGAGAGGAGGCCAGAGGTGAGCAGCAGCTTTTGGAGAGAAAAGGCACCTGCCGCAAGCTGGACCCCAGGAAACACAACATAATTTAAGTCTGAGAAGTGGCAGGAGTGGCAAGAGGGGCCCAAGAATGCCAGAGCTGGGCCTCAGGTACCTGGTAGCTGAGTCCTCTCTCCACCCTCACTTCCCCAAAAGCTAACTTAAGGGGAGGCTCAGTGAAGAAAGGGAATCTAAAATCTTCTCTAGGTAAGAAACTTCCAGATTGTTCCCTGCCTGTAAGCTCTCAGCAGCAGCTCACAAGGAAACGGCCATGTACCCCCCATCCCTGACGCTTCCTTAAAGTCAGAACGACAACAAAACATGTATCTTCAAAACACTTTCAGGATGCCGTACAAATTCCTATCAGAAACAACTCTAAGTTTCTTGCCACCTTGATTGTGCATTTATTATTCCTTCTAATCCGGGACATTTTCCCTTGGTCCCCAGCTGAATACTGCAGGTTGGTCTGGGTGGGGTGGGTACAGTGACTACAATAACCTACATTATTACTTGCAGACAAAAGGCCTGGGTCTTTGCCGCTCCAGCCCAGACCTTCATTAATTACGACAGGCCAGCTATGCTGAGGAAGAGCAGCCTGTAGGCAGCGAGGCAGGTTCTCCAAAAGTGATGTCAGAGATTGGCAATCAGTGTAGGAGGCAGGAGGAATGGCTTTATCCTGGTTTCTCTGACTGACACTTGCTGTCACTCTCCCTCCAACCTGCGGCTTCTGCCTGCTCCAGCTCTGGTCTCACGGACTTAGTTCACTTGGGTTGGGTGAGTCATCCCGAAACTGGTCCCACGTGCACCAACTCCTTTGGTTCGTTTAAACTAGAGAGGAACTGCTTGCAGGTCATGGCTGTTGTAAAACTCTCCTGGGTTCCACAGGTGGTGGCAACCTGGGTGGAGCATGGGCATTCTCTGGAAAGAGGTTCTAGGTTGGGGCTCCCCCAAACTGTGCTTCCTGCTTTCTGCTTAAACACCTCCCCCCCTTTCTCGAGCGTGGAGGACGCTTAGGAACCAGCGTCACAAGTGAACGCACAGACAAGACAGCCTTAATAAATTAGTATAATACTATTAGAAGGGGTGGCGTTGTGTTCTGTTTCTTAGCAGCATTGTCCTACATGCAGCCTGATGATCTCCTTCCCTGGGAAATTTAAAAAGCTGTCCCCTGGTTGTTAGCTCTGATGTAAAATTATAAAATAGAAATCTGGTAGGGTTTGTTTTGTTTAAAAAGGAAAAGCCCTGGTGAGGCAGGGCGGTCCCATGCAGTCCTGTTAGCTCTGGCCATTGGGTCGGCCCACGGTGCTCCCTCCAGGAGGCTGGATCTGGATGGAATCCAGGAGGGGCCGCAGGGCCTGTCCGAAGGGGCTGCGGAGAAAACAGACACAGGAGCTGGGGTGGGCTCTGGGGTGCAGGGAGGCGCAGGGGGCCAGCATGCCCAGCTCCAGCCACAGGGCCAGCGGTACTGCCACACGGGGAGGACACCCTCACCTCATTTCACTCTCACTTACCTCCCGCCTGCTTTCTCATGGAGGGGGTCTCTACATAGCCTGCTCTGCATTTTGACTCCTAGGGTCCTCTCCCCCATAGATGCTACCATCTCACTACCTTCACCTCTAGGTCATGGTTAGCTGGGGCTTCAATAGGCTGGTTGCATAGTGGGAACTAGAGCTTCCTGTACTTTCTGTACTTGTATCTTTCATTCTCATGGTATAAGAAGATAAAAATGAAGTTTAATGAGGAAGCTGAGGTTAAAAAAAAAAAAGGACATGAGAAAGGTAAAGTCAGGAGTGAGGGTCCACCAGGAACTGAGGTCTGCTGGGGATACAGGGAAGAATCAGGAAAAGTGACAAATGCAGGTTGTCAGGGGTTAATGCCACTTTGTAAAGGGCTCCCCATTTGTCCTCAGAGGGGCTTAGCTGGGACAAAACTGCAAATACTGGATCTCAGACTTTCCAAGATTACTTCAACCTTAAAACATGTTGCCCACAACACATCTCAGTTACTGCGTTGTTTTCCTTTGGTGGAAAAGGCCATTTTTGAAAATTGTCCCCAAGTTCAAAGGAAATGAAGTATTCCAAGGCATAAACAGATGACACAGAAATAATAACCCTAATTCAGACAAGTCCAGGGACTCTACCCAACAAATAATGACAGCAAGAACATTCTAGCTACCAAAGTTTGTTCAGGGTGCCATAACCTAGATCCTGTGGTAAGGTGGTGGGGTTGAACACACCCACCAAGGCAGGCAGGGCCAGGGCTGGGAGACGGGGCTTTCCTCACCGACCTGACATAGCAGCCTTGTTTCCTAGGCACTTTTTTCTGAGCAGTTCCTACCCAGGTGTGAAAACAGCTCAGCTTGCTGAGCTTGCTAAACCTGCCAGGATCCCTGTTGGACAGGGCCTCAGTTCAGGAGAAACTGAGTCAGAGCCAACAAATGGACATGGCCAATAGCAAAGGAGGGAGGGGTGTGATGGCTTTGGGTGGGTGTGTGTCCTTTTAGGGGACACTGCCTGGGTGATGGCCCACAAGCTACGAGGGCAAGTAGGAAGCTGTCTTTGAGGGCGTCAAAGAGCTCATGATGCAGAGGGAGAAAGACTGAAATAGCCGCCTTCCGAATTCTCTGACCTACTCTCTGCTCCGCCATCTAAAACTGCATTTTACGCGGGCGCTTCTGGGGAGTGGCATGCTTCACGTGCAGTGGGAAAGACAGGTGCCAGGATTCTGCACAAGTGGGTTTCTAAGTTCTGCAGTCACACTCAGGCCAGGGTAGAGTGGTCCAACTCCAAGCAGGGTGAAGTAACAGGTGGGTATCGGTGAGAAGAGAAAATGGTGGCTGTCCACGTTTGAGCTGCCATGACAGAGCCCACCCAGCTTGGGAGGATTCTGCTGAGACCAGGGGAGGGCAGACATGGGCAGGGGAGTGGTGCTGGCTGCGGATAGGGATTTCAAAGGCAGGGCAGAGACAGAGGTCACTTACGTGGAGAGAACTTCAGAGGGCAGGTCAGTGATGTAAGAAGGGATCTTCCGCCCCGTCAGGAACTGTGCCACTTCGTTGCTGAAGGTGTTACAGTTGTGTTCAAAGAGGTTGTAGGCCTCACCTCTGTGCGTTGTGAGAAAGGAGCACAGCTATGAGAGGTCACAAGCAAGTGTATGAAATATCTCAAACCAGGTCATGGAAGGGGGAGATAGCTGAATTTGAGGACTGACTTCCCTCCTCTCGCATGCTCCACGGGCTGCTTGATTTGCCTCACCGGACCATTGAAACAGATTTTGAAGAAAAGGATGAGATATAAACAAGAGGCTCCCCTATAATTTCAGGAGAATCTTTACGTTCACAAAAGCAGAGCTCCTGGGTTAGAGTTTAACACACTGAAATTGACTAAAGCTTCTTTAAGAGAAAATCTGCTCAAGTTTGTGTTTTATCCCAGTCCCTCCACAAACCTTGTTTTTTATTTTCAGGACAGAATACTTGGCCAGTGTGGGTTGAGAGCAGCATTTGCTGAGATAGCAACAGCTGATTTTAACCAGAAAGAATCAATAGCCCGTCCTTCCCTCAAAGTCCCAGCAGAAGGTCTGCTAGGATGCGATATTGGCCTCGGGGCAACGCTGAGCTCTTCTGCCTTCTCTTCATATTTACTCAGCAAATGCTGGGCCAGACCTTGTGCTGAGTGCGCAGGGGGATGTGACCTGGTGGCTGTCCTCTGGTGGCTGATTATCTAGTGGGGGAGACAGACACAACTAACCACCACCCCTGTCTCCACTCACCGGAACTGAGACTCCCCCAGGGAGGACAGGTACTCCAGAAAGATTTCTTCTGTGACTTCTGTGCTCCCCACATCAACCACAGAGTCTGGGGGCCCAAGCAATGTCCCTCCCTAAAAGAGCCAACCCAAAGAGAGTCATTAAATTACCATTTCTGTTGAATTTTTTAATGTGCCTTTCCATGGATGACCACAAATGCTCTGTTCTGACAACTTTTAACTTTCAGAGCACCCAGGGCAGATGAAGATGGTTATTTCCTAGTTGTATCAGGGCTATAGCGGCTTAGAGCTTCCTAAAGACTTCCCATTGCCAGGCCTAGAAAGATGGCTAAGTCGGGCTTCTAGTTTCTGGTGGGGCCCCGGGAAACTGAGTCTCATGCAGGTCAGACTCCTGACGCTGTCGACTCATTCAGTTGCTAAAAAGATAGGAGCCCAGAATCTGTCTCTCTTTGTCCCCAACATGTCTGCTCACGAGGGCAGAGCAGGACAATTAGAAATGGCTCCCCCTTGCCAGGCCACCTTCTATGCCCACACTCAGAAGGTGAGCAGCCAGTGTTTCTGGTGACATGATCAATACCCCTGAACACGGGAAAATGTGAAGGACAGTGAGAAATCTGGCCGGCTGGCAAATATTCCCACAGTTCAGTTCTTTTATGATCTGAGAGGATAATCCGACGATGCTAATAGGGTTCAACAGGCGAGGGAGTTAATGGCCCCTCAAAGGCCTACAGAAAACCCTCAGCCAGGGGCTAACAGACTGCCACAGAGACCAAGGGGCACTGAGGCCCAGGGGGAAGCCAGCCAAGGGGAAGCAACAGGATCACTGGGGAGGACAGTACTGGGAGTGAACTGGGGAAAAGTGAGGGCTCCAGAGCAGAGCTCCCCGCAAAGACTGTGAATGTATGCAATAGCTAGTGAGCACCTACTGTGTACCTGACGCTGGGGATGGCATGGTGAGCAGGACACTCACGGTAGTCAGAGAAAAATGATGACTTACAGGAGGTCACTATTTGACCCTCCCATTCTTCACTCACATAATAAATACGTACTGAGAATTTACTATGTGCGGGCCTTAGCTAGGCACTGGGGCATGATGTGGACAAAACAGGTGAGGTTCTTGCCCTCAGGGAGCTTATTGTATAGCGGGAAAGGCAGACAAAATATTCCATAAACCAATGTATTAGTATGAGTTGCAATAAGGGTCTTGCTGGAAAGCTACAGAATGCCGTCAGTAGATATGACAGGGGACACCTCAGTCTGAAGGACCAGGGAAGACTTGCCTGAGAATGTGGCACTGAGCTCAGATCTGAAGGATGGAGAGGCATAACAAGGTGAGGGACAGGGAGGTGGACTGAAGTCAGAGGACAGGTTCAAATGGCCAAGGCCTGTTCAAGGAGTGAGGAGAGAGAGGAGTGGGCAAGGGCATGAATTGAAAAGAGGCCACCAAGAGAGGGAGACCGAGACCAGTTAGGGCCCTGGACATCATGCTGAGCTTCCTGGGTTTTATTCCAAGAGCAATGGGGAGAGTCTGACTTAAGCAGGGAAATGCCATGATTAGATTTTCACTGTGAAAAGGTCACTTTGCCTCCATGGGGAGAACTGACTGACAAAGAAGAGGAGATGCATTGTTGTGGTCCAGGCTAGACATGAGGGTGGCCCTGGATTTAGGTGAAAGCTCTGGAGAAAAGGGGACAGATGAAGAGAGACAGACTGACTTAAGACATATTTACAAGGTAGAATCAACTGGGATTAATGAAGGATGTTACAAGAGGTGGGACCAGTGAAAAGAAACCAAGAGTGACTTCCCATTTATGGGTACTATAATGAATGGCAATGTGACTTGAGCACCTCCTGTGATAATCCTTAGACAGTGACACAGAACTTTTTTGGAAGATGGCATGGGCTTTAGAGTCGGAGACCTGAGTTCTAGTACTGGTACCACTTTCTGACTGTGTAACTTTGGGCAACTCACTTTACTTTTCAGAACCCTCACATTTGGCTTCACATTGGCTGAGTTCATACTATGAGCCAGGCTCTGAGCTGGTCATGAGAACAGAAAAGTGAGACACAGGCTTAGCTCACAAAGCTTACGCATAGTTCCTTGTGGAGACAGGAACAGCTCATTTCACCATAACATGCTCCATGTGACACAGAGGGACCAAAAATGCTGTGGGAGCAGAGAGGAGAGCAACTGGCTGGAGGGTCTGGGAAGGGTTTTCCTGAGCTGAGTTTTCAGGTAGTTGTGAGAGACTATGCCACAGACCTACATACACTGTGCCAAAGCGAGAACAGAGAGTAGCAGCCCAGTTCCTGGTCTCCGGGAACCCCCAGGAACCTGAGGCTGCAGGACAGGGTGCGGGGAAGACACTCACCGGGGGACAGCTGGAGATCCCACCACTGCCGAAGAAGAACTCATCCTTGTGTACAACTATGGAGGTGTGCCTGCAACGCAGAGGAGAGAGAATGAGCCAGAAAACTTACAACCAGCCTGAGAAAAGCAGTCACTACACTGCAATGAGAATCATCTCTGCCCAAGGATAGGACTGTGTTCAACAGCCTTAGAAAACTAACGAAACAAAGGCAAGATGAGGGTTTCCCAACTTGGCACTACTGACATTTGGGGCTGGACAGTTCTTCATTGTGGGGGCCGTCCTGTGTAGTACAGGATGTTTAGCAGCACCCTGGCCTCTACCTACCAGATGCCAGTAGCACCCCCTACCCCCCTCAGTTGTGACAACCAAACATGTTCTCAGCCATTACCAAATGTTTCAGAATTTTCCCCAGTTGAGAATCACTGCTGTAGATCATGTGAGCAGAGGGGAGTCCCTAGAGATTCACCCTGATACTGACAAATCAATTACTGAAATAAAGACTGCAGACCAAGGTATATCCCAGCTTTTTAAACTAACAGAAGTTCACCTGGACCATGCTGAGGGAAAGGCCAGATGATGTGAAGTGCAGACCTATTTCAAGTTCGTATTATTTGGTTTGAGTCAAACACAGCAAAAGGTCATTCTGGTCAACTCAATGTCAGCAGGGTCTGGGAGCCAAGACCGAATACTGACCTATGGCTTCCTCATAAATGGAGCTGAGAGCTCAGCCACAGCCACCATCTTGTCTGACAGGGATGGGTCTAGTAGTGAGAGACCAAAGTAGATGTGTTTTAACAGACTTGTGGAGCCTTGAGACTTCTGTAGAAACCTTGGTCAGGGGTGGGCAGGACATCATCCTGCCTTTCTTTAGGCAGGGTTTCTCAATCCCAGCACCACTGCCAGTTTTGGCTGAATAATTCTTTGTTCGTGAGGCTGTCCTGTGCATTTAGGATGTTCAGAGCAGCATACCTGGCCTCGGCCCACCCACCCAAAATGTCTCCAGACACTGTCAAATGTCCAGGTAGAGGGGCGGGGGCAAGAGAGCCCCTGGTTGAGAAGCACTGCATTACACCTTGAAGATTTACGATGTGGAGAGCTGGGCTTCAAGCTGGAACCACAGCAGGAACTTGAAGTGCACAGGTGCAGCTTTGTTTTGTAAACCAGTCGATGTAAGGATCCCACCCAACTTACCAGATGCCTTCCAGTTGTTTCCCTGTGGAAAGAAGAAGAGATTTAGCCACTTGGGACTAGACTAAATGGTCTCCCAGCCTGAGTAAATTTAGAATATCACTCAAACCCCAAGGAACCCATTATAAACCTCTTGAGGGACTTTCTAGGAATGCAGTTTTTCTCCAATAAGGTCTTTAGGTCGTGACACAGGTGTGTCATGTTAAGTAAGTTGAAAGTGATCAGAATCCACCACTCCCCAGTGCTGTTTAAACCTCAGTGTCTTATTTTGTTAAAAACAAACAGAATGAGTGTCTATCTCATAACACTTCCAAGATTAAAAGGAGATGACACATGAAATATGCCCAGAACAGTGCCTGGCATATACCACAAGCCTAAATAGGTTAACTCATTTCTTTCAGGCTTTAGAATTTGAGTTCTATGGCTGCTCTCATGGTACCTTGGTATCGAAACGACCTAGTCTTGTGTCTTTCTCCCCATTAGACTACAACTGTCTCAAAGACCAGGGCAGTTTCTCATGTATCTTTGTAATTCCAGCACACAGCACAGTACCTGGAGCAGAGATGCTGCACGCCCATCTGCTGAGATGAGGTATTGTTTTGTTAGTTCGGTTGGTTGACACATACACAGTGCTATTTAGGCCAGAGTTCTTAACCCCAATCTTAACTGCCCTGGCTTGTTACTCAAATGACTTTGCAACCTTGGCATACTGCACTCGAGCCTGCTACTGCCCTCTCAGGTGCCCATGCTCAGTGCTCCAGGAAGACAGCCAGACAGATCCATCAGTTCCAACCCAGTCCCACTAAAGAATGGAGTTTTGGATAGGGGCCTCAGAGACCATCCTGTCGGTTCGTTTACACTTGGAAAACAATTCAAAGTTGAAAGATACAAGCCCTACTTTATTCCCGATAGTCTCTGTACCAATCACTAAGTTTGCCTGTAAGCTGGACATGATGCCTCCTCCTTATCAGCTCCGTCAATAGCTCACCCACCCTTAGAGTGGTGACAGGGATAGAGAAAAGGTTCTCTTGTTCATGCTCTCATTTATTCATCCATCTGCCAAACATGTGGAGCCAACGTTTAAAATGGATCGAATGGATTTGCATCTTTTCTTAATTGAAAGTGCTTCACAGTTATCCTTATTCTTACGCATCTATACGTGGTAGTGTGGGCAAAGATTTATTAGCATTTAGTAAGGATTCATGGTTTGTCCTGCATAAAAACAAGAAAAAGCAAGCTACGATGATGCGCTTGGAGCAGCTCAGACAGCAATGCAAGGGCAGCCGCTTGGCAGCCTGCTCTCGGGAGGAAAAGAGCAGCCTCCTGCGCAGGGTGCCACACAACGGAAAGCGGGATTGGATTGATCTTTAAATGTTTTTGGCTACACTGGGGTGGGAGTGAGTGAGATTGAATTAGGGCACAGGGCCATTTTGGGACAATGAATTAGGCTCAGTGGATATTAGCACATTACAGAAGCAGATTATTTTCCCATCAGGATTTTCTCAGCAAGCTGGAGAGCAGGTGGGTCAGATGGCTGCATGTCTCCAAGCTCGTTAGCATTTCCAATGCATTGATTTGGAGGCCCATGAAGTAGTCACATGAAAACAACTTGAAGACATGGATGTCAGCCTTGTTTTTCATCATGAATAACAAAAAGGTGAGGCCCACATTAGTCAGCCTTCCACTGATTGTAAGAGTAAAGTGAGAATATAAAAGTCAAGGAGAAAATCCTGCCTCTACCTTATCAATTAAGATAGATGGAGCTGTGCCGGTTGTAAGACGAATCAGCAGCTGGCATACTGCTGGTGCTAAATCAATGTCTATTAATGAGCACAAAGTGGGTGATGGTGATGGGTCTGCAGGGGCATTAGCTCATTGATGCAAATCAAGCGCAGCCCCAGCTCACCTCAGATTCCTGCCCCAGTGACGAAGTGTTTTTAACTGAGTATTTTCATCTGCTGGTTGGCTCAGTCATTTGCCAGATTACCAGCAATGTGAAGGGGTTAATGTTAACTTAAAAAATCAGCTTATTCTTCTCTGGGATCACTGGATAAATGTGGAATCTAGGTGGGAAAAAGCAAAAGGAAACATATGTATAATATAAGTGAGTCTCTGTGCCAATACTGTAAAAAAAAATTCTCCCTGCTGGCATAGCTCAGTGGTTGAGCATCGACCTAAGATCCAGGAGATCGAGGTTTGATTCCTGACTAGGGCACATGCCCAGGTTGCAGGCTCGATTCCCAGCAGGGGACATGCAGGAGGCAGCCGATCAATGACTCTCTCATCATTGATGTTACTCTCTCTCCCTCCCTCTCTGTGAAATCAATAAAGATATATTAAAAAAAAAAAAAATCCTGTTGGTAGGGGTGGCTTGCCCTTTAGGAAGAGAAAAGTTATCACAAAATCAAAATGCAATACATTGTTAAAAACTGAGAGGGTACTTTAATCCTCAAAAAAAGGGTAGATTTACAACTACTTAATACTCTAATATTGGGGTCAGTACAGGATTCTTTCCTAGTATCAAAATAACTGATGCGTGAGTTCTTTTCCTCAACACTGAGAGGGTTTCCTCTTGATCACTGCTTGTTTTGATTTATTAGCCTGCCCTTGTAGCAATGCTTTGAGGTAGATGTGTAACATCCCACCAGTCACTCAGCTTGTATTTACTGAATGCCAAGCACTGCTAGACTCTGGGGATACAATCGAGAGTTCTTGCCCCCAATGGAGCCACCAGTCCAGCTAGGGTGGGTGTGGGCAGAGATGAGAAAACAGCCATTATAAAATAGAATGATGAACGCTAATAAAGGAGAGTACAGGATGTTATCAGGACATAATAGGGACACATAATCAAGATTTGGGGAGTGGGGTTCAGGGAAAGTTTCCTGGAGCAAATGGCATTTCAGTTGAGAGAAGTTGCCAGGCCAAGAGATGGGAAAAGTATCCCTGGCAGGGAGCACAGCAGCCCCTCTCCACTGGGGTTCTGCAAGAGGATCAAGCCCTAATGCCCCTCAGTAGCTTTTGGGAGACTGAGAAAACAGTCACTTGGATCATTTAATTCTCTTGTGGAACCCTGCTGAGAAAGGATCACGTCAGTGTGCACAGTATGTGGAGACAGGTGAGGGTAGAAAGAAAAACAGGAGCTGGATCTCACAGGGCTTTGTAAGCCACATCAGTTTTCATTGTGCCATAAACTGCATGATCACTAAATTCGTTCATTAGCTGGATATAAAACAGTCCACACAATGAACAATAAAACTCTAAAACAAAGCACAATAGATGACACTGAAACATAAAAAAACCCTCAGTTTCAAATAAATTCTACTTCATCTTCAAGTCTCAATCATTCCTAGAATATTTATTGAGCACCAGCTCTGACTGGCCACTGGGGACACAGGGGAATGAGACAGAGTCTCTGTACCCCAGGAGCTCAAGGTTCTTGCTGAAGTCTTTCTGACACATCCAGCCCACCATGGCCTCTCCCTTCTTTCAAGGCTTAAAATAACTGCTTCACCACGCACTCATTTTGGCATCTAATCATAATCTCTTTTATGCCGTTGCATGCGTACATACATTATTTTTAGTGAAATGAACTTGTGGAGGACAGAGTTCATGTCTTTCATTATTATATATATAGTCCACCCTCATATCCCTGTCTTTAAACCTGAGAACAATTTTGAGATAGGCTTGTAAAGAAAAATAAATGTGATCTCAGGATATGTGCATGCACAAAAAACTTCAAATCAGAAAACAGTCAACAAATATAAAGTACCTTTTACTACAATTAAAAAAAAAAAAAAATCCAAACCCTCTGCCTTTATCTCTAAATGCTTTAGTATAGAAAGAGGTAAAAAAATTTAAAGAGCAGACAAAATTATTAAGAGGAACTGAAGGACAATTATAATAGCTAATTATCTTAGGCAAATAGTGACAATGAAAAAGAAAGATACTATCAGGCTGCCTGCTCGATTAGAACACTAAGGATAGTTTTAGGACCATTTTCATGGTGATTGAGGGACTGTGGAATGGGAATACCTTCATGGAAAGCATTCTAGGGGACTGAAAACTAGGAGGCAGGGTAAACTGGTGTAGTCTACATTGTTCGGGAGAGAAGAGAATTACACTGGGCTTTATCTAGTCCAATCATGAGTGTAATAGAGCTAGATGTGGTCTTATAATGAGGAACTGCCATAACAATAAGAGGGCACTGCTGGTGAGGTCACACTAATGTAGTTTCGGAAAATGAAGTCTAAGAGAGGTGATCATAAATTTATGATTATGAATGGCATATACACATTGAGCCCAGATTTTTATCTCATTCAAACTTGAAATACTTGGCCAAAGATGCCTTTACGAACATGAACACGAACCTCCTTTGCCTCGATTATAAGGTAACACATTCCACGGTAGAGGTGGTACATCAAAATGACAGAACAGGAGCTCTGGAGGTCCATGCTCATAACCCTGCTCTGCCTCAACTGAAAACTGGAGGCGATAAGAGGACCCATCTCACAAAATTGTGGTAAGGCATAACACATGCAAAGTTCTCAGAAAAAGAAAAAAAAAGGTCCGGCACATGGTAAGCTTTCAATAGATGCTAGCTATTAATATGCTCCTAGAAGTCATCACAAAAGTCAGGAAACACATTGATTTTTTTTAAAGGTTCAAATATATTCAGAATGGGAAATCAATACATGGCTATTAATAGAATTGGGACATACCCAACTTTAAGGTTAATGATGTGTAGACGGGATGAACCAGTAAGGCAATGCCCATTTTCCATAAGGTTTTCAAATCTAGAAAGTAATGACTATTAGCTTTGATAACCCTTGTCTTCATCACTTTTGCAAAAGGCATAAAAGCAATATGGAAAAAAGGTGGAGAGAGGAGAGAATTAGATTTGGCTACTTCTTCCTCATCTTTAAATTTACAACTTAAAAGTCACCACTCCTGATAACCTTTAAAGGAGGTCTCGTTATTTTCTTTCTCAACACCCAGTTTGCTTCCTGCACAACCCAGCACTTATCACAATTTGTAATTATTTTATTTGCCTACTTATTTTTAATGAGTTCCCCACTAAATAGCTCCATGATGGCAGTGTCTTTGTTGATTTTATCATCTTTAGTTAAGTTTAACACATGGATGGCACATGGTAGGCACTCAGTAGCTACTGAATGAATCATGAAGCAATGATCTGTAAGGCCCCTTTCAGCTAAAATCAATAACTATTAGGTAATAGGAAAAAACAAAACAAAACAGTATAAAGGGAGAAACTTTTATTTTTGGGTCTAGGAAATATTTAATGCCTCACCACGATCAAAGTAACCAAATGGCTCCATTCCAAGTTTAGTTAGAACTTGACTGATGCAATCTTAGTAACTAACAGTGACTCTGTAAGTTTTGCTTTCAGATTTGCCTTACTAATCTTTTTAATCCTTACCCAAGGATATGTTTATTGATTTTTAGAGAGGAAGGGAGAGAAAGGGAGAGAGGGAGGGAGGAAGAGGGAGAGAAAGGAAAGGGAGAGGGGGGAGAGAGAGAGAGAAACATCAATGTGAGACAAACTTCAATCGGTCACCTCCTGTACACGTCCCTACTGGGTATTGAACCCTCAGCCTAGGTAAATGTCCTGACTAGGAACCAACCTTTTTTGTGTACAGGACCACGCTCTAACCAACTGAGCCACCCGGCTGGGGCTGCCTTACTAATTTTAACAATCTAGGACTGACTTTTGTCCAATAATGGATCAGCTACATAGAATTGTCTGAGGAGATTTTTATTTTATTTTTTTAAAATATGTTTTTATTGATTTGAGAGAGAGAGGAAGAGAGAAGAGAGAGAAACATCAATGGGCTGCCTCCTGCATGCCCCGACAGGGAATCCAATGGGTGGCCTCTCGGTGCATGGGAAGATGCTCAACCAATTAACCCACGCTGTCCAGGGCTGAGGAGGTTTTTAAAAATACAAATTTTTGCCCGGCTGGGCATGGCTCAGTGGTTAAGCGTCGACCTAGGATCCAGGCGATCAGGGGTCGATTCCCAGTTAGGGCACATGCTGGGGTTGCGGGCTGCAGCCGATCAATGACTCTCTCATCATTGATGTTTCTAGCTCTCTCTCTCCCTCTCTTTTCCTCTCTCTGAAATCAACAAAGATATATTAAAAAAAAGAAAGGGCTATCTTTAAAAAAAAACAACAAATTTTTGAGCTTCATCTCATGCACCAGTAGGTCACCTGTTCGATTCCAGGTCAGGGCACATGCTTGGATTGTGGGCTTGATCCCAAGTAGGGGGCAGAAGGGAGGCAGCCAATTGATGTTTCTCATTAGTGTTTCTCATGGATGTTTCTCTCCCTCCCTCTGCCTCTCTATGAAATAAAAACATATTTTTTAAAAATACAAATTTTGGGATCAAAACTCCAGAAGAGTCTCATTTAGTACTTGTGTAATGAGGCTCTAGAATCCATACATTTAAAACTTTGCTTATTTTGAATAAATAACATATGTATGTAAGTATACAATTCAAAGGTACAAAAAGTTACAGCAAAGTCTCCCTTTCACTCTTGCCCCCCAGCTTCAAGTTCACTTTTCCATAAGCTATCACTGTTACCAATTTCTTTTGCATTCTTACAGATGATTCCCTTAAGCAAGTATGTATATATACTTTGCTTTAAACACACACTTGCAGATTTAAACAACTGTTCAATTTTTTTTTTCTATTCCCACTTAACCAATATACATTGAAAAAGAAGATATCTTCGTATTTTTCACAAGCACCCTAGGTAGTTCTGAGGTGAAGCTAAATGTAGGAAACACTCAGTGGCCCAGGGTTAAGAGGTTAAGTTCAATTCACTACACAGCACATTAAAAACTCAAGGATATTGAAAAGATGCCCTCAGAAGTAACCTTGCTTACTTGACCTCTGCCCTCTTGTCTTATGCACATGAACCAAAACATTCTCTAAATGTCTTCATAAGCCAGGAAAAACTAGTCATTCAAATGGATGTTGCCAAAACTGTTCAGTTTTCAATTCCTGAGATCCCTTCCTGCCCGGTGTCATCTGAAATCACAAACCTGACGATCTCTATGTTACCCAAGGCGTTTTGGTATTTGGTTTATAATGAGGTTTGATCTACACTGATTTTCTCTCCTGGCAGTTAAGTAGTTTAGTGGAGCGCGACTGAAATACTTCCCTTACTAATCCTTACGGCCACAACCGTATCCAGTCCTCCCCCCGGATGGCTTGCTTACCGTCTGGGCTCCAGCAGACCTGACTCGTCCCTACCGAGGGGCTATGGGTGGGTGTCTGTGCAGCTCTCGCTTTCTCTTCCCACCTACCCCAGGGGCTGCAGAAAGAGTTTCCTTTTGGCACGGAGGGCAGGCTCTCCGAGGGCCGCCCAGGAATCTCCTCCGCAGTGTCCCTTCCGCCACGAGGGCCGGCGCGCGGCCGGCGTCCTCACCTCCGCGCCGAGCAGGGAGCCAGAGCGCGCGCCCCGCGAGGCAGGGACCCCCCTGGACCCGGGGCCCGCCTATCCCCCCTCCCGGCGGAAGGGACTCGGAGGGACAGGGAAGGGCGTGATTCCTCTCCATCCCTTCCTCCTGGATTCAAACGGAAACGGGGCTGAGCATAGGGGCCCAAACCTCAGACCCCTCCCTGTTCTACTCGGGCTTTTCGCCGTCCTCTGGGCCCCAAGTCTCCCCCTGAGCCTTGGCTCAGGCCTCCCCGCCTCGGCCGGCGGCCCCGGCCCTCCTTCCCGCCCACTCCCTGCCCCCTCACCCAGCATGATGGGGCTGAGCCGCCGGGCTAGGCCCTTGGACAGGTCGTACACGTACAGCTTCACCGGATAGAGATTCGGCGGCTCCATCGGGACCCGTGGCGGCAGCGGCCACGAAGTCCCTCTGGCACCCGGCAGCGGCTAGGATCTTCCCGTACCCAACCCGAGTGGGGAGCGGAAGGCGCGTGGGGGGACCGAGCCCGGGCCGGCCTGAAGGGCAGGGGAGAGGCGGCCCTGCTTTGCCCGCGGCCCCACACCGCTCGCGCCCCCCGCCCGCAACGACTACTGTGAGGTGACAGAGCCGGGACCAGCAGGGTCCGCACGGAAGAAGGCCAGGGGCGGGGACGCACTTTCGCGCATGTGCATACCATCCTCACCGGCGAAGGGGGCGGGGTCTCGCCGGAGGGGGCGGAGCTTTCGCTAAGTGGGTGGGTTCGCTAAGGACTGGTAAGAAAAGATGGGAGTGGGAGTGGGCGTGTCGATTTGACCCGAAAAGTCCGTACTGTGCGTCATGACGTAGGGCGTTGATTGGGAGAGAGAGCTGTAGCGCGCGCGTGCGCGGCGCCCCACCTTCTGTCCAGGTCGGTCTCGTCGCCGCGTTCCAGGTAGGCGGCTCGCGTGTGTGTCGTGTGTGTGTTGCTGGCCCGCAGGGGTGGCCTGGTCCTGCCCGGACCGCACAGTCTTGCGAGTGCCCCTGGCCCGCTGCAGGGCTGCGTCAGCCCGGAGTGTGCGGCCCGAGGGTAGAGACAGCCTTTGGTTCCCGCTCCTTCCTCCTGGAGGAGGCGGCCCCGGCCTGGGAGGCCCGCCTGCACTTGAGACTCCACCGGGCCTGGCGGGCTGAGGAGTTGAGGGAGATTGAGGAGCAGTGGGTCCGTTAGAGGACGGAGTATCTTGGAGCGGGAATCCCTCAAGTCCAGATGGTGCCGGAGGTGGCCAGTCCGGGCCACCACAGGCCCTGGCGTCCTTACGAGAGAGCTAAGGCGAGGCTGCTGGAACGATCCTCATGCCCACTTACCTCTGGGTCTCATTCACCGAGAGCTCTCGAGGCAGCAGGATCCGGCGTTCACATTGCTCGCGAGTAACCGCGGGCCAGAATCGGTATTTGTAGGTTTACATTTGTTACTGATCTTAACTTTCTTTCACCCAGCGAGCAGGTACCAACATGTCAGGTTGGGAGTCTTTTTACAAAAACGAGGGCGATGAAGAAGAACAACAAGAGGAGGGCCTTGAAGCAGGTGGTAGGTGACTTTCACATGTACTGCTCTGTGTGTGGCAACTTCCCCTGCCTGTCTGTGCTGGGTGTCCTTTGCTGTCTGATGACCTACCTCTTTACCCAGAGGACGTCACATACCTTTCTTTCTCCTTTTGAATTTTGCAGAGCTACCCTCGGCTCTTTTATTGGTGTCCTACTCTAGACTATGGGACATTCCTAGCCTTAAACTTTTGCGGGGCACTGGTAGATTGACATCTGCGGAGCTCCAATAAATGACCCTGAACAGTGGTATCTTTTGTTACCTTAGATGACTCAAGTGAGCCTCTTCCTCACCCAAGAAAATAGATTTTTTTTGTTTTTGTTTTTTTAATCTTCACCCTAGGATATATTTTTTGTTAATTTTAGAGAGAAAGGAAGAGGGAGAGAGAGAGAACCATCAAAGTGCAAAACATCCATGGGTTGCCTCCCGTATGTGCCCCATCTGGGGATCGAACCTGCAACCTACATATGTGCCCTGACCAGAAATCGAACCCACAACCTTTCAGTGTATGGAGGATGCTCCAAACAACTGAGCCATCCCTTCAGGACCCAAGAAAGTAGTTTTACTCACTCTAGGACCTCAATACAAAAATGCCTTCATCCTACAATAATTGCAGCAACCAAAGAGTAAATGTTAGCAACACAATTACAAGTGTCACTCCCTCACCATAGCTTCCAGGTGTGGGGGTATATGTTCCGCCAACACAGTAATACATGGGACAAAGGGAGAAATAAGGGGTACATGCATCTTCATACTAGTTAATGTAGGTCCTGAGTGGAATAAAGTGTTTTTATTAAATTGAGAAACATATAGGAAATACTGAACATAGAGAAAGTTTACTGTAATCTATATACTGTACCACCCTGACACAACTACTACCAGTATTTTGGCATTTTGCACATTTCCTTCATATACCTTCATTCTGCATATACCTACATATATATCTGCTTTCCTTTCTGTCTGATTTTTATATAGTTGTAATCATAAGGCATATACACTTTAAATTTTAATTTACATCAGTCTTCTTACAAAAAAGGAATTTTAAACATATATACATAATTTTATATTCTACCTTTTTCCTTATTTATCATAGATATGTTTTTCCATTTAACTAGATATAGTCTTTATAACTCATTTTAAAAAAAAATATGTATTGATTTCAGAGAGAGGAAAGGAGAGGGAGAGAGAGAGAGAGAGAGAGAGAGAGAGGGAAAAACATCAATGATGAGTCATTGATCGAGCTCACAACCGGACATGTGCCCTGACCAGGAATTGAACTCCGATTGCCTGGATCCTAGGTTGACGCTCAACCACTGAGCCACGCCCGGCTGGGCTATAACTCATTTTAAATTTGCTATAATTTATTCATTCTACTTCCTATCGGATATACATATAGAACATACGTATATTTTTTGTTAATCCTCACCCAAGGCTATTTTTTCCATTGAATTTAAGAGAGAGTGGAAGGGAGGAAGGGGGGAGAGAGAGAGAGAGACACATTAATATGAGAGAGAGACATTGATTGGTTGTCTCCTGCACCCCCCCTGACCCGAATGGGGGATTGAACCTGTAACCCCTAGGTACATGCCCTTGAGGGAGAATTGAACCCACAACCCTTCAGTGCCTGGGCCAACACTAACCACTGTGCCACACCAGCCAGGGCTGCATATTTTAATTATATTCAATTTCTTACTTTAATCAATAACATTGTGAAAAATTTTGCATAAGGCTTTTTCCATATTTTTCTTAAATAGATTTTTAAAAGGTAGAATTCCCTGGATCAAGGTAGATTTTGTTTAAGGCTCTTGATACATATGGTCATATTGTTTTAATAAAAGATGGGTAATTAAATTTATTGTACTAAACAGCAGTATTAAAAAAGGAGACTACTAGACATGAAAAACACAGCATCACCCATGATATAATCATGCCAAAAAAAGAAAACCTGAATCTGATGAAGCCTTTCTGGGTCCTTAGGAGGGAATATAGAAGACTGTGCTAATCTACAACAAAAGAATGCAGTCAGCAAAATACAGAGGTGGAAAACTGCACAGGGCACAACATCCTGCTTCAACAAATAAATTATGACAAAAAGATGGAGGGGGTTATCTATAGCTTAAGAGGCTTTAAAACATAGACCAAAAAAAATCAAAACAAGTGTAGGAGTGTTCCCTTGGATGAGAAAAGTATAAAGAAAAATAAGGATGTGAAGTCAGGATAGTGGTTACTCTTGGGAGTGTTAACAGAGAAATGTATGGATGATCTTTCCCCGTTGCTAGTGGGAGTGGGGTTCTTGGAGTACTGCTGGAATAAGCATTTCCGGAAGTCCCCCGGGAGGATGAGATGTGGTAGGAAGCTTTATTTTTGTGGAATTACATCTTTGGGTCTCCAAAGTCCCATTTCATTAACCCAGTCTTAGAAGATGTACAACTGGTGATTCAGTAGAGCTAGAAGCAAAGCCAGTGTCCAAAATTTCCCTTCCATTTTGCAGCCGGGTCCAGTTTAGCATTAGGCCAGTTGCAGCCTATTAGTCCATTATCTGGGGTCCACATGGCTGTGGGCCATGTAGGTAAACTCAGGAGCGTGAAAGCCTTGCAAGCCAGGAGTCAAAAGCTCAAGCAAGCAAGAGCACAAGAAAGCAAACTCCTCTGGAGATTAAATATCTTCCTGCCCTTGCAGTGGCCACACCTGCTCTGGCCAATGACCTGTTCCCAGGTGTGACCGACAGACAAGCACCTTCCATAGTTCTTCCAGACTTTACTAGGCATGTGTCTAAACTGCAACTTCCGGGCAAAGCTGTACGAATGGCATGCCCATAATATTTGGCCTTCCCTTTGCTCCTTTCCAGTTGTTCATAACTAGGTTAAATTACAACAGTATCAGGAGGAGGCTGGGCATTGTATGTAATTGGGAGGGAACATGCAGAGGGCTCCTGGGGTGACTGGCAAGATTTCACTGTTGGTGATGGTTTTAAGGGTGTTCACCTTATAATAATTCATCAAGTTATACTTTTGATTAGTGGGCTTTTCTCTATTTGTTTTATATAAATATATAAGCATGATAAATATGAACACAGGTGTAAGCATTTCCTTCCATTTTTTTCCTTGTAGGAGAATATACATATTCAGGAAGAGATAGTTTGATTTTTTTGGTTGATGCTTCTAGGGCCATGTTTGAATCCGAGAGTGAAGATGAATTAACTCCTTTTGACATGAGCATCCAGGTAAGGCTACCTTTTTGTTTAAGACAAACAAAATTCCAGAGTATTAATACCACTTTAAAAGGTATGGACTCTGAAAATTTTGTTTGATAAGGATAAATGGTGGTTAGCCTCCCAGGATGGCTCTCTCCATTTATAGCTGAGAAAGAGTGGCAATACTGGAGAGCTGGCCCATTTCACTCTGGGCTTGAACTCCGGACCCTAGGACTGCATTGCTCCCACCTGCACTAGCCCTAGTAGTGGAAGTGGGCTGCTCCTTCTGTAGAGGTGGGAGCATAGTGGAAATGAGTTCCCTTGTCAGCCATATTTGGAAGCTGGGTGTTACCTGTGGTTGAAAAAGATTATTACAACAAAAAGACAACCTAATTTGAAAATGGGCACAGGACTTGAATATACATGTCTTTTAAGATATACAAATGGCCAACAAGCACAGGAAAAGATTCTCAGCATCTTTAGTCATCAGAGAAATGCAAATCAGAACCACAGTGAGGTCTCATGCCCACTAGGATGGCTGCAATTACAGAAAAAGAGGAAAATAAGAGATGTGAAAAAATTGGAAGCTCATGCATTGCTGGTGGGAATGTGAAATGGATCAGCTGCTGTGGAAAACAGCTTGACAGTTCCTCAGAGTTCAACATAGAATTACCATCTGACCCAGCAGTTCTCCTCCCAGGTATATACCCATCAGAATAAGACCCAGGTACTCAGATCCTGATTCTGCCACTTATAAACTATGTGATGTTAGAACAGTTGCTCAGCCTCTTGGCACCGTTTTCTCACCTGTGAAATGGAGAGAGTAATAGTATCTTCTGCATCAAGTTGTTGTGAGGATTAGTTTTGTTT